CTTCTGCCCTGGACTACCAGCACTGGAACAAGACAAGGCCACAAGCACCTTTGTTTTATGGTTAAAGTAAATCCTTTCTCTTGTTTTATATTTTTTTTATTATGACTTATTTTGATTGTTGGAACTGGAATTATGCAGCTCTGCCCCGACCTTGACAGGAGGGGCCCGACCCATTGGATCCCTTATACGACTCCTCTTGGTTTGTTGATGGGGAAGAAAAGATAATGGTAAATGTAATAATGAAATGACATAAATGGAATGAAGAAGATGAAAAATAAGAAAATATAATCAATAAATGAAATAGGTAAGACGAAAATGGGGGGTGGGGACAGTTTATATTCTAATACTGATGATAACTGAATATTATTATAATAAAATAATAGGCTAATATTAGGATGAGTAACTTGGGTGGCCCTAAATTGTATCCACAATATGACTGTGCTGCTTGTGTGCAGTTGTTGCCCTCTTTTTAAATATATTTATAACTTAATTAACATAACCTTCCTCTTCTTTAAGCCCAAAAATTGTTACATTAGTGGGATTTTAGTAACAAACTGGAAAAAGATCTGATTTCAAACTACCTGTCTGTCTCTGCCCCTCCCAGCAATGACTTTGATGTGGGTCTCGACCCAGATATTAGTTTGGCAGACATGTATCGCTGGAAGGTTTCTGCTTATGCTCCATGCAGCTCAACCTGTACAACAGGTAAACACATGCTCAATATGCAAACATATATTAACATAATATCCACAGGTAATGAGGTAGAATTTTTGATAATGCAGCTTGTGAAATTTTTGTACTATGGCCATAAATAAGATTTGTGTGTGACTGGCTGGTACTGTAGGTGTCTGCTAAAATTCCATATGAGGACAACTCATCTGGAGTTACAGACCACTGTTTAAACACTGTCCGAAATCAAGTGTGCTAGGTTTATTAAACTACAAGTAATCCTAGTGACACTTCATGCTCCATTACCAGTTAACTTTCACTGGCAAAACTGAAACTACTGAAAGTACTAAACAAACTTTTTTTTTTTCTGACTAAGCTTTTCGGATGTGAAGTAACACATCTGCAAGAACATCAAGCAAGTCCAGCTGCCAGCTTCAGCTATAGACAGTGTTGTTTGCCTTCACTGTTCCAGTTGTTGTTAGGACGACTTCCCATGCATTATTGCTCACCTAAACTATAAATCTGTCACAGACATTGTCTTTACTCATGTACATACTGTATGTTATGCCACGTATGATCTGCATTGTATGTTTTGCATTGCATTGTAGTACATGTATTGTCGTGCACATGGACTCTGTTGTTGATCTGTGTCTGCAGTCTGTGCACAGTACACTCTCTTAACACTGTGTGTCTATGTGTATTACTAGGTATCACTACTAGCTATGCCCTGTGTGTTCGGTATGATGGTGCTGAAGTTGATGACACTTACTGTGACTCTCTGACCAGGCCAGAGCCCACACATGAGTTGTGTACTGGAAAGGAATGTCCTCCAAGGTACTGGCCTTTAACTTATTGACTGACAGACACATAAAGAGGTTTGTTAAATTCTTCATACCTTGAGAGAGTTTCCTGTACAAATGGCAAAGAAGTGATGTCTAACTTGGGTGGGAGATGAGGAAAAACAAACACATTTCAAATCACACCCTCTGAATCCAGGGGTGGGTTAAAATTATGGTGTTCAAACCCCTCATAGTCAGTGGCTGTACCCTGGAGTAGGGGGGGGATCATGTACACGTTGGCCATACCATAATCGTTTCAGCAGTGACCATCTCAGCCTTAAAAAAAGCTTCCACCAGTATCCAGGGACTAACATCCCTCCCCTCAGATCTAACATCAAGCCAATGCCTGTTAAAGCATGTCTGTAAAACTATATATTAATATGTCAAATGTATAAATAGAGAAAAGAAAAACTTATATTCTGATATATTTGAATATTTTGTACATAACTGATGTGCTTTATTTCTTATAGTTATGTTTATTACTGTGTATATGTGATTTAAATATGTAATGGAAGTTGGTCTAAGGTTGACTATAGTGTGAACCAGACTATAAATTTCATAATATGAAGAGCAGGGCCATTTTATTTTGTACATCTTTGGAGGGCAATAAGGCCGAGCCAAATGACATGATGTGTATTGTATACGTAGCTTATATTATGCAGCTTTACTGCTCAGGCTGTATACAGCATGGACCCCCATGTACCTGTGGGGAGAGGAGGTACCAGGGTAAAAAAAAAATTTCTTAATGACTGGTGCGTTTGTGTAGTTTCCACATTGAGGGAACAGCTTAGAGGATTCAAAGTATTGGCTTCTTTTGTCTGCTTTTTGTGCTGTTCCAGTGCAAACAAAAAGAAACATGAGCATACCAAAGAATCTGTGATTGCAACAATTTTCTGGGAGAAGTGGTGCGTTATCTGACAGAACTGTGGGGGTGCTAGTATTTTTAGCCATAACTGTAGGTTTTATAACTGGGTCCAGCTTGGCCTGTTGAGCTTCTGATTCCTGACTAGCTTCGTCCTGCTGTGACTTCAGCAAATTCACCTTTTTCACGTTTTTGCTTTGTGGCCAACATAACGTGACACAGAATGTGCACCTGACCCAGCGTGACCTGTGTGGGCTGGTTATGTTGTGATGTCATTAGCCTAACTGCCTGTTTATTATATTTTAATGTTTGCTTCACACTACTAACTTATTTCACTAGCCTCGAAGAAGGCTGGTGGGTCAAAATGACAACAATTTTTTAATAAATCTTAAGTGGGTTATTTCTCACATTTTTGAGATAGATATTCAAAACACAGGTAGAAGAAAGAATATCACTGAGTGTGACTGAAACGGTGGACTTCACTAAATATCCCCGAAACTGTATTTGGTTTCAGTGAAGACCCCACTAACTACAGGTCACCACTTTTCAGATGGGAGACCAGTGGCTGGAGTGAGTGCTCTCGAACCTGTGGTGAGGGTGTTCAGTACCGAACTGTGCGCTGCTGGAAGATGCTGTCACCTGGTCTCGACTCCTCTGTCTATGATTCGCTGTGTCTGTCACATGACTTGCACAAACCAGCCACTAGAAAAGTCTGCCTTGGTCAGAGCTGTGGTCCACAGTGGGAGGTGGCGGAGTGGTCAGAGGTATTACAGAAAGCTGTGTGCACTGTCATATGCTGTGATGTCGATGGCGAGTATTGTCATTGTACCAAAATTCAGACTGTGATGAACTTGAAGTTTGATGCCTTGAAATCAGATTTTGCTGTGGCCAAAGCAATGATAAACAAAGTAATGCCAGTGTGCATCAACCTTCAAGATTTTCAAACTCTGTATCAAAACATTGCAATCGAGCAGTTGTTAGAAATGGCAGTAACAGAAACCATGTATATCTACAGATGTCTTAGAAAATAGCTTCTGGAGCTAAAACAAAAATACATTTTAAGCTGAAACCAACCGGGAATTGAAATGGGAAAGGGAATGCAACAGTATTTCACACTTCTTTTAGTATTCTCTGGCTATAATTTTATGTCCTGACTTTTGTGAGCATGAAAACCCAAAAACGATGCATGGAAATGTAGAACCTTCATACACCTACACCCCAGGTACTCCATAAGGAGTAGATGATTGGATTAGATTGTGTTGTGCCTTGCCGCATAAATTTGCATAATGAGGTAAAACATTTTTAATCTCATGTGTTCTTTTGTCATGGACATCTTGGTGGGAAATCTTGTTTTTATATCCAAATTTATAGCCTAGAAAATGTCAAGATGGAACATACCTGTAAATACTGCTACTGAGAATCACAGTGGGAACTGGTTTCCATACTAAAAATGATATGTGGCTGTTTAATAAATATTTCTCACTGTAGAGTGCGATTATATTAATACCAGAAATTTGTGTGTGTCACTGTTTGTGTTAGTGTTTGGCACGTTGCGGCTCTCGGGGTGTTCGGACTCGGGAGGTTCGTTGTTCCATGGCGATGAGATTATGTAATAAGTCCTCTCAGCCAATAGAAAGTCAGGAATGTGAAGGCCCACCCTGCGACAGAAGATGGACTGTTTCTGATTGGGGGCCTGTGAGTGTAACAACTTACTGTACATGCACACTGAACACATATCATTTTAATATTTCTCATATTTAGATTTAGAAAAATATCACCTCAGTTTTATACTTCATTAAAACATTTCTGTGTATGTGTCAGTGCTCAGGTGTGTGTGGAGAGGGAAGGATGGTGCGTGCAGTGATGTGTCGATCATCAAGTGGGGAAGTGATGTCAGAAGAGCAGTGTGCCCAATCACTGCGTCCGCTGGCCATCTATCCCTGTGGTGACAGAGAATGCGCCCCCCACTGGGTGGAACAGGAATGGCAACAGGTAAACATTTTTAGAACCAGTCCATGGAAGTGTGCTTCACTGTTGAGAGGTCAGGACAGAGCACATTTTGGCTAGAGTTGACTGGAATATGTCTCTATAAGACAATACCAATATCAGAGTCAGTATTGTTCTTTTTCCCCCCCATCGTGTGTGTGTGTGTGTGTGTGTGTGTAATAGTGTAACACTACATGTGGCCGTGGTGTGCGGCACCGTTGGGTGGTGTGTGCTGGGCTGGAAGGTGGTGTGTTTAAAGAGTTTCCAGACAGTAGCTGTGACCAAACCAACAAACCAGAGACCAGCTCCTCCTGCTTCCAGAGACCCTGCTCAAAATGGTTCACTACCTCCTGGTCCCAGGTCAGTGTCTGTCCTGCCTACTGATGCATCAACCAGCCAGTACGCTACCAGGTGTGGCTATTTAAATACTCTCAAAATGACTGGCTGTGATGTCTAGCTTTACTGTCAAATTATGTTTTGTAGGACCATCTGACTGATCATCAGTAATATGTAGAGAAAAAAGACTAGTTCTGTTCCCTTATGCCCCCACAGTGCAGTAAAACCTGTGGGAATGGTGTCCAGGTTCGAGAGGTCAAGTGTTACCAGGGGCAGGAACTGGTAACCAGAGGCCACAGCTGCGACTCAGCGCTCAAGCCAAAAGCCAGACAGAGCTGTGAAATCCAGAGCTGTCCAAAAGAAACACCAGGTACACAAATGCTGGGTGTGAGCATTTACTGGAGCTACAGTGCAAATTAAGTGGATAAATTAGCATTCAACGTTTTAAACACACTTTCCTTTTTCTGTATATGTAATAGTTGTTATGGCTTCTGTTTGGTTATCCAGCAGCGCCCCCAGCAGCATCAGTAGCAATGGATGACTCCTGCCAAGACAAGCCAACAGCCAACTGTGCCCTGGTGCTAAAGGTGAAACTGTGCTCCCATTGGTACTATAGAAAGGCTTGCTGCCAGTCCTGTAAAGCACCTAGACCCTGAAGTCTCAACTGTAACCTCTCACCTTAACCCCTGGACACCAACACTGCATTCTTACTGGTGCTACACAACTACTACAGTGTGCTGCTAACAATGTATGGCCTCAGGACATAACATTTACCTTATTCCTGTTACCGTGTCACTATATCAATGGTCAGCATGTGGTCACTGCCTTCTACATGTCCACATTATCCCTTTGCTCTTGCCCCTCACACATAGAAGTGCTCCTGAAAGTAAATAGTTTTTAACAATGTATTGTCACCACTATTAAAGATACTAAATCTAAATTACTCTTAGTGTTTCCTCAAAGAATCATCAGCTGAGTAGTTTTGCAGACAGAGCACAATTTCTCCTGTGTAGCAGCATTTTATAACTAGACGTTGACCTGAAGTGCCGAGAACAGCTGCAGACCCATTCATGACAGAGCCTACTTGACCTACTCCATATGACGAGCACCCTGACCATTTAGCCAGTATGCTACTATATGTATTCACTGACCACCTCCTTCCCAGGCAATGTGAAGATGCACTAGCTTCAGGACATAGTGGGATGTCTGTTCATCGGTTTCCTTAACTTCAAAACATAAGCAGCAAACCCTTCTTTTGATAAGCATCCTTCCTCTAGTGTCTACTCCTCCTTTCTTTTCATCCTTCTCAATATAGCACTCATTGTTCTACAGTAAGAGGTAAAAACCCTCAAGGATTTTTCATCCATCCATCACTTAAAGTATCTGCCAATTTAAAGGTGATGTTCCATATAGTGTCTATATTCTATCCACTCCCTCACTACTACTAAATGTTGTGTTTTCCACTAAAGGTGCACCCAAAGCATGTGAAAGACACAAGGCAGCTTTGTTGTTAATGTGACAACAGACCAGAACAGAGTGGAGCAGGAAAGCACTTTGGCAGAGCCATTTCGCATTGGTCCAATCCCATCCTGCTGTACCTAGCCCTGTGCAGAAAGTTTGTTCAGGCTGTACTATTGCTGCCCTGCTGAGCTGTAGCTGCGCTTGTTTCTGCCACTGACCAGCTGATCCACATTATGGCTTTATAACAGCAGACTGCAGAACTCCTCCTAAAAATACATCCAGCAGTCATGCTAAATAAAAGTTTAAAATGAGTATAACACTGAAAAGTTAGCAGTAGTAATAGTTATATTAACATATACCTTCAGTAGGTGAATGACATATGGTAACACCACTCAACAATTAAAGGCTGATACGTGCTTCTCATAGGGGGACCTGCATGGGGGTCATTCACATGGCTGTTTCTGTTATACAGTATTTAAACTGTAAGACTACTAGTACTTCAGTTGTTGAGATTTGGGAGATGTGAATGTTGGCTCCTCAGCAAGCAACCCGTGGTTACCCATATTACATTTCAAATGTGGTGGTACTTGGAAGTAAAAAAAGAAAAAGAAATGCATCCCAGGCTTGGGGGAAAAGTCTAGAACAAACACAGCGACAGTCGAGCGCTGGTACTGTACCAACATGGCTGTTGGGGTCAAATTCTCATCGATCCAAAACGCACTGTAAACATGACTGTCACTGTTGGTCTCTCCCGTGTTGGTTATCTGTTGTTACATTGCCCACAGAGCTGCTGCCATTGTTGTTTGTTTGCTGTATCACAAATAAAGAATAAAAGATTGACTGTTTTCGACATGTATCTGTGTCTGACCTTTGACTGCTGCTCCTCTTGGTGGACCAACCCTGGATTGACCCTTGCATGTAGTGCAGGACAAAACTACTTGCTGAAGAAAACTTCAGATGGTAGTTGTAAGAATATGGAAGGAGACTATTCAGTAACATAGTAAAGACCTGAAAACTAACTGACCAAAGCTTAAATTTCAATGGTTGCAAGCTTAACTATGGTAATTCAAGCTGGTTTACATGAGAACCAGACAGAGGAGGTGTAAGGTTATATGCTGTTCTCAATAAAGGAACTGTGGGTGCTAATTATGCAATCATCAGAGACGGGACCCGTTTCCTATACGGAATGTACTTAAGTATATTAAGTGACCATTGTGTTGTGTTCAGCGCCCGCACAAGAAGCATTGTCATCGTCACAACAGATTGTAATGGATATGTCCTGGGTGAAACCAAATTATACATGAGTTCACACCAAGCTGGTTTCGACAGAGAAGTCTTGGTCTTTGGGTTACAGACAGCCAGTAAGAGGACCTCTAGGTGATTTAATTTTATTTTCAGATTTAAACAACATTCAGAAACAGTTTGTCATTCTATTGTAAGAATTCCTGACAAATCTTTGTCTGCAGGAAAGACCAGCAGCTTCAGAGAAGGTGCGTACTTCCATCGGGACTGATCATACCACAGCGTATAGGCAAACAACCACTGTAAGTATGGGTGATACGGAGACATGGTTCTGTTATTTAGCCAAATATATGGAATGGACAAAAAATGAAAATGTAAATATGGCACAATACAGATCAACACCACCACAAAGCAGAGAATGATCATACAGTTTATGATCATTTATGATATAAAATTTATTTCTGAAAGGTTTCTAACAGATTACATATGTCAGCTTGCTTGTATTGTAGGTTTAACATTGGAACTATGATGGAAACTGACAATTTAGTAGAGTGTGAAGTGAATGTAGTATAGGGTTGATAATAGTGATAAAAAGAAACATAAGAACTGATCTTTTGTTCATTTTTACCCAGTGGAAAAACCACAAACGTGAGTATTAGACTTGTACTGAAACGTGTTGAGAAATGATTCAGGTGCTAAGGTTTTGTCCTAGACCTTTATGGAAGTTCCCAGGTTTCTGAATGTTTTGTCAGATTGGCTTCAGCGTTCTCTGAAAATCAGTTTGCTGACATACTTTTTGTCAGTTATTTTAGTAACATTAACACCAGTGGTTGAAGAAGTACTCAGGTTGTTTGTGTTTAAGTAAAAGTAGAAACACCACAGTGTAAAAAATACTTGTACTTAAAATACTCATTATGCAGAATGACACATTTCACGTGACTGTATATCATATTACTGCTTTGTAATTATTGATGCATTATTATGCCACTTTACTGTTGCACCTGGCAAAGGTAGAGCTAATGTTAACTATCTTATGCTTTGAATTACTGTTGGGTAGCTTGTGAATTTCCCACCGGGGATCAATAAAGTGTTTAGTTTGATTCTGAACAGTAACTATATTAGCAACTCATGTTGTCAGATAAATATAGTGGAGAAGGAAGTAACATGTTTGCCTCTAAAATGTCGTGATGTCAAACTAAGAAATAGCAGAAAATCAAAAACGTACTCAAGTACAGTACTTGAGTAAAAGTACTTAGTTACTTTACACCTCTGATTAACAGATTGGAATTAGGTTTGATGCCTGGTAATGTGGTGTATATATATAGATGAGAATCTTTTGTATTCCATTTACACCTCTGATTAACAGATTGGAATTAGGTTTGATGCCTGGTAATGTGGTGTATATATATAGATGAGAATCTTTTGTACACCATAATTTATAGTTGAAAGAAGCTACCATATGTACATTATTGTTAGGATTCCAAGCAGGACTTTGAATAAAAATGACAAGAAATTGCAGAAATCTAAACTTGATTCCTCCTGATATGTACTGTATGTGAGTGGAAGGAGAAGGTAACACAAAATGGATGTTCCCATGTAAAGTACAAGTATGTACAAATCGTAAAGTACAGATTTGAGTACGATAAATCTACTTAGAGTAGTTATAATCCAATAGTGGAACTGGATGACATGTTCCTTCATTGCTATGAACCATTGATACATATAATGTGAATGTTAGTGCTGTCAATTTATTAAAATATTTAATTGCATGATTGTCCACAGTTAAATTGTGATTAATCACACATTGTTTTAATCTGTTTTAAACAGTAGTGGAAAGTACATTTACTCAAGTACTGTACTTAAGTACAATTTTGAGGTATCTGGACTTTAGTATTTTAATTATGTGTTACTTCATACTTTGACTTCACTACATTTTAGAGGCAAATCCTGTACTTTTTACTCCACTACATTTATCTTATAACTTTAGTTACTAGTTACTTTTCAAAATCAGATTATTAAAAACTGCAGTATAATTATAAGACCTCATTGATCTACGGTGGAAAATTCACAAGCTGCCCAGCAGCAATTCAAATTAAATGCACATAAGTTGGTTACAACTAGCCCCCCTTTACCAGCTGCAACATTAACAATATATAGGAATGTGAAATGTGCTATTCTGCATAATCAGTACTTTTAAGTATGTTTTAATGCTAAAACGTATGCACTTTTTTACTTAGGTAACATTGTGGCATCGCTAATGAACATAGATTTGATGATCATGTGTGTCAATATGTCACATGGAAGCCTATATAAATCTGAACAAACAACTTGCATGCATTAAAACACACCAACTGGCCATTTTATTAGGTACACCTGTACAACTGTATGCAATTCATGCACATTAACATCTGTTTATGAAGCACAAAATGTTTCAGTTTTTGGTGAAACTGTCATAAATGTGCAAATTCAATTATATGTTTACTACTGAGGTCAAGGTTCAAGATGATGCAATACATTATATTCAGAGGTGTTTATGTTTTTATCCTCCCCAGCTACATACATGAGAGGGTCAGAATATTAGGAACGCCTCTGAATATAATGTACTCTAGTACAACACCACCTTTAACAAAACAAATAATACAACCAACTCAGACAAACTTAGAAATCATGCAAAACAATTAAAAAATGAAACCCTGGACAACTAAATGATTACTTACCCAATGTAGGCCTAAACCTACTGCATAAACTATTTCCTGTATGAGTGACACAGCGTAATTAGAAGAGACGGGTAAACACACGGTGCAGTGTGCACCACTATCTCAAGTGCACCCACCAACTACAATTCTAAAGAAAAGAACCAAAGCCAAGAATAGAGCTGGGGCAGCAGCCTTTATAGTCTGAAAGCTACTGTCTAGAAATATCATTTCTAAAGAGATGCGTGACGAAATCATTGTTAGCACTCAGAAGCCAGACATTTAAAATAAAAACCCCAAAACACTCCCGTACAACTTGACCAACAAATCAGTGCCCCTGTGTGGAGTCTTAAACATAACAAACACATGGAAAACACAGAATAATAATATCAAAAATAATGGTTTACCTTGGCAACGACGTGTTCAGTAAAGGCTCCAATGGCGCAATAACCTGACAGCTAGCATCTCATGCTGTAAGCAAACTCATTGAAACTCTCGTTGCTACATGCTACCAATACAATTGGTACAATTGCTGAATAAATCACCTAAAGACAAAACAGCCAAATCAACCGTGCCATGTGGCACTGTCCAATAAAATTTCAACATGTTAAAAACTGATTTCCACAAATACGCCTTTGAAAGGAAAACCCTGTAAAATATATTACTGCATGCAAAAATAAATGTCTGCATATTATTTTAACTACACATAGGCTAATTGTCAATAAAAGTCATTGTCATCTTTATGCCTAGGTGAAATAATGTAAAATCAGACCACCTTATAAGTCGTCGGACTGGCTCCATCTCGTGATGTTCTGTAATCTTTTTGTGTAAGGGGTTAGCCCAGAACTTATAAATGTATTAGGCTCTGCGTTTCCGGGGCTCTCCTTTTTCCCAGCAGCCTGCATAGGGATGCCTGGAAGGGGGAGCCACCCGGGTTGTGTTTTGTAATTTTGCTTGTGGTTTAGAATAAATCAGCACTGTTGTACCCGGTACTTTTTACCATTGCTAACTCTGAGAGACAAGACAGTCCAAGTAACTTCAAAACAGTGCTGATTTATTCAAAGGATCACAGGTAAAATTAACATTACACGCTCAGGTATCTTGCACCTCCAAACTGCTCGCAGGCAGATGTAAGATGAAAGACCCTGAACCCACCAGGCCTATACATTATATCCCCTCGGTTGGCAATGTGTGTGTGTCTGTTGATTAAGTGGTGTGTAGTTAAAAACATTCCCACGACCTCTAGTAACATGTCGTGACTTAAACATAAGAACATATTATGGCTAAGGCTACAGTTATACACGTCATAATAATAATATTAAACACCCTGTCTGCTGACAGTCATCAACTCTTCTCTCTATTTATCCTTGAACAGATGTACCCTGTAGAAACTCATAAGCATGACTAAGCATTTAACAGTCTAACTATACATCCTATCTCCACTAAACACTTCTAATGCATAAAGTATCTATCCAATTTCTATCTGACTAAAAATACCTAACAGCACTAAATGAAGAAAGACGGACTCCTTCGTTATTCAGATCTGTCCAACAAAAGAACTGGGGTATTACAGAATTCAGGAAAATAAAACAAGTCTTTCTGGGGTTGTTCCTTGTCTTGTGATGCTACAGCTGTTTCTATAGCGTCCTCTCAGAGAACTGTAAGCTCCACAAAATACAGCCTGCTTTAGCCCCGGTTCCACTACTGGACCCTAATGAGCCATTGACCCAGTACTTCCCATCATGCTTTGTTTTTCCACTGTATTTTTTCTCTGCCAATCTCTGTTTAGAGAAGGGAGGGGCTGCTCCCCTCTCACACACAGTCAGCTGCATGTTTACACACTGTGCTTGTAATGCTAATACTTGAGGTGTGAAGATGCGGACATTTAGCCAATCATTGGCGACTGCTC